GGGGGGAGCCTATTTTTCATGTCTCAGTTATCTGTTCCCACTACTCTTCACCATTAGGGTTCGCCATAATAGGCTTAGAGGCTTGGATTGATATTATAGATGCAACGGAAAGATTATGCATGCCCACTCTTTGTTCTCCCTCACTTTTTAGATTGAACAACGGGGAAGATCCTTAAATATGCTATATCTAAGTCGTTTGATCGGGGTAATAGTTCCATAGCAAGATGGATAGCGAATGATTTTTGATAGATAACGCAACTTGGTCGCACACACAGTTCCTACAGATGTGAGGCCGTATTGATTAAATGACAACAAATGGGTGGCCGCATTCGTATGGCATTCGGTCACTGTTTACCGCACAGTATCGGCATCGTGGCAAGTCTTTTATTTGCATTACTTGTAACTCGTTTGGGTTACCATTCATGAAATTTTTACAAGTGCCTTACCTTCACTCGAATCTGATTTACTACATATGTGTCCTTTTTCGCAGTCATTGGTGTCGTCTTGTTATAGGTCTAGATCTTTGATCACTTCTTCCATCCGTTTTCCGAGAAATGTCAGGGAATTGAAGTAAGTCGCCCCGAACTTCTCTTCAATAAATGTTGGCCAGATCGTTTTTTTTCAATTTCTTGAATCCGGATAGATCTAAATCTGCGCCATCTACTTGTAATGGTAATCCTCAATGTAGCTGTTCGATAGGAGCCAACCTCAGAGTCTTCACTTCATCGTTTTGTGTGATTCTTCCCTGCTCTGGATGATCACTACTAATCACTTTGATACCATGTAGTGAACTCTTCAATCTTGAATGTTTAGGACAGCATGGTTTGGAACCTTCAAACTCTTCCTCTCAAGCTTGAAACACCTGTCCCTTCCGACATAGCGATTTCGCGCAGTCAAACCCCGAAGAATATCGAACAGGTACGCAATTTACTCTATTGTTATTCGAAAGAGAATAAGAACGGCTTAAAGGCCTCTGTTCTGAATTCCCTCCCATTTCTCCCAGTATCAGCATGTCATACTCTGTTCCCATACGGGTACAAAATGTTCATCGCTATCCTCTTAATCGACTGTTATGGTGGTAATACAGAACGTTAGTATGTTAGCTGTGTAGTACTGCCATGTAGGGGTGCACTAGGTAAAGGTTGGCATTGTGGTCATACTCCGAATAGGTGTTTGTACAAGTTCGCAGGTACGGTTCGAGAGGGTAGACAACCTTTGTGTAACATCGATGTGCTCCCATTCATCATGCGCTGGCGATTGAACAAAGAATGTTTCTTATGGATTCTATGGGTTCCGTTCCGCGAATAAGACCAAACTATGTACCATAGGCGAAGGAGCTGCATTTGCAGCGACTGCAGGGTGAAGGTCCAATCTTCTTGTTGAAAACATTTCCATGATTCAGAACCAGTAGGTGATAGGGTTACAAAGCAAGTTCTAGTTGCTTTGACACTCTATCCGGAATATACTCCCGATTTGTGAACAACGTTGTTATCTATTTCGGAATAGTGTTGGCGAGTAGAAATGATAAGAAACTGCACTTGGAAAGAACGTTCTTTGGTTAGCAAACGTCGTAGGTCTCCTTCTCCTCCACGAACGATCAAAGAACGATCAGTTCTCCTATCCAAAGAACTTGATCAAGATGAAAGTCTTCGGGATTTTTTGGAAGCTCCCGGTAAGGGGCACTCGGTCCAAATGAGAGACGATGCGCATGCTTCACTATCGTATGAAAATTGGATGTTCATGAGGCTTCCAAAGACAAAGTAAGCCATTTCTGCGGCACAAGTGGGACGCAGTAGGGCAATTGCCATTTCAATCCAACAAATTTCAATTCCATATATAAGATTTTATGGTTCGTAGTGGATCAATTCCAGAAAAAGTCCCTTTTATTGGAAGTTCTCTCAAAACATTGTGAAAACGGAGGAATATGGGCCGTATGGGTGTATAGGTGCGCTACGTGTGCTGCCCACGGCAACATGTTTGAGCCTCATACATATCCAAACCGCCTCTATGATTCTGAATGGAAATCGAATGTGTGAGCATCCCTTAAAGGCACCGTTCACGATAAAAATGTTTCTGAGATTCCCCTATAGGATGAATTTGAGGTCCCTGCGTATACGATATCTGGCACTATTAGGTCGGAAAGCGGCCTAGTTAGGGAGTTATAAAGGCTCAAAGATTGGCCCATGTGTTCCCTCGGACGACTTTCACCGGCATTGTAGAGGCTGCACCGATCACACGGGAACCCATGCAGGAAGTTCAAACAACTTCTCATGACCC